GGACATGCAGGGAGCAGGCAGCTGGCAGCACTGGAGGCAGCCCCAGGCTCGGACACCTCCCTGGGTGACAGGGTGGGTGACACAGTGTTCCAGCATTGGACACCTCCCTGGGTACAGGGATGGGACAGGCATTGTATGGGATATGGACCTGCAGGTGAATCTGGCTCAGCAGGACCTGTGGCTGAGCAGGGCGAGGCTGTGGGGAGCTGGAGACCAGCCCTGCTGCAGCACTGTTGGGACAGGGGCTGTCCTGGTCCTTCTATTTCTCCTTTGTTGATGTGTTCATGGAGAATCTACTCAAGGGATGAAGAGCTGCAAAAGGATATAACTTGTTTTTTCATACTTATTCCAATAAATCAGCAGAGAACACTAGCCCAATGAAAAATTAATGGTTAGCAGACCAGGAATATGGAAATCAGAAACCACACTGCCCCTTCCTAGAAATAAACATGAAAGGGGAAATGCTTCAAATACTGATCATATGTCTGTGATTTTAGAAAAGGATCTCCTAGATGCAAGGTTTCACATTGTAGTTTTACAAGTGTGCTTTCTCATGAGATTTTTTTGCATCCTGTGTTTACTTGCATTTTTAAAGGTCAGATATGGAGCTGACTTCCTTTGTGTTCTGATTTTGTAAATTAATTCTCGACAGACATCACAGCTTCTGGCATAACATCAATATTATTGTAGTTTACATGCAATTATTCTCACAGTAGGTTCTAGTTCATTAATTCCTGAGAAGCTAATACTGTCAACAACACTTTGATTTTAATGATATCATTAGAAATAATCTTCTTACTTCTCTGTTTGTTATTTCTCCAGTGGCATATTTCACAGTACTAACTAACTCCTTCACTTCAGTTGCCCTGAATTTCATCTGTGCTAGGGTTGTACAAATTCAGTTTCTCTTGGGCAGACATCCCACAGGACTTTACTTGTGGCATAATAAGGTTCAGGTATTTCACTGATGATTAATATAAGTTTTCCAGCATTTCAAGATCTTGCTGCAAAAAAACTTTATGTTGGCCACTTTTCTTATGGCAGCTAGCCTCCTTCAGCTTCTCTTTACACTCATAGGAGGTAACTCACAGGATGTATTTCTGTTACCAAGTCTTTTTAAATCACTGGAATACATCCTTGATCACCCAAATCTGATTCAGAGCTTTCGGAAGAAGTCTTTGTAGGGTTTGACAGAAGTTAATTCATGCTGCTTATACCACTTTCTTGTATCAGACCTGCCTGGGAAATGGAGCCTGCAAAATCTCTGGAATACATGGCTAGGCTTTAAGAGACTTTGCTTTGCTTCAGAGGCTGACCAGGGAAGATATTCTTTGCTGACAGCTTTATATTACTGGTGCTCATGTTCCTAGTTGAGATTTGCTTTTGAGAAAAGGATGACAGAATGGGAAAGGAAAGGAAAGGAAAAGAAAGGAAAGGAAAGGAAAAAGATAAAAAGAAAGAAAGAAGGAAAGAAAGAAGGAAAGAAGGAAAGAAAGAAAGAAAGAAAAAGAAAGAAAGAAAGAGAAAGAAAGAAAGAGGAAGGAAGGAAGGAAGGAAGGAAGGAAGGAAGGAAGGAAGGAAGGAAGGAAGGAAGGAAGGAAGGAAGGAAGGAAGGAAAGATATTTTGAAAGATATTTTATATATTTGAAAGAAAGAAAAATTTTGACCATGGAAATACCCATTTTAGTTTATGTTTGCTGGAGGGCTGAGCACAAGGAGAGCACTGGCCAGAAGCCACCAGATTATCATGTTGCAGCAAGGATATTCTGGAAGAAGTGAGGTAGAGAAAAAAAATATTTTAATTAAGTTTACGCACTCAGTGACCCCATGTTCCTGACAGAGTGAAGGCTTCTAGCTTTTTCAGTACTGATTAAAAAAAGACAAAGTAAGCAATTATGCTGTTTCTATATAAAAATTCCTGGTTTTGTACATCCTGGAATCAATGAAGCCCAAAGGAGTAGGTTATTGTGCTGTATACCAGCACACAGTTACTAACTGAAAATTTATGCTATTTTCTAGGTCATTTGTATTAGCACGTGTTTAGTTCAGTCTTCAGAGCTTGAATTATTGATTCCTCCCATGTTTAAACAGAATTATTTTCCCCTCTTTTCTCCTGTACTACTGTCTAAATCATCACATCTGCAACGACACGGAGAAGCCGGCACCGTAAGGTATGACAGAAAACTGCTGAGCAGCACCCAGCAGGGCCGTTCTGCATCCTCTTTCTTGTCCCTGGGAGTAGCTTAAACTTTCTGTATAAAAGCTGCCACAAAAAAACCCTCATCTGATGGTTGGGGTGGATTTTTGTTGTTGTTTCTTTGTGACTGTGCTTCTTTTTTTTTTTTTTCTTAAGGTATTAATGGCGTCAGGTTTTAAAGCGATTGTTAGAGTCTTTAAAAATGTAGACCAGTAAAACCCATTCATGAGTGCTCACCAGAGGTTGCCTGTTGAAGCTACCAGCTAAGTAATGAGTTTTCTGTGTTTTGGGGAACAAAATTTGGCATAATTTCCAGTGCCATCCGTATTAATTAACAGAACAGTCAAGTTGAACTAAGGTGAAGGAAACACTTTTCATGTGTCTTTTTATGACAACCTTTAGAGCAGATTTAATTGGCATCCACGTAAATTAAAAACATGTTAGCCTGTCAAGTAAAGAAAATACACTGCTACTTCTGTTTGAGATGTGAACATTATTTTTTATTTGCCATTCATGTGGACTTTCATGCTTTCTGTCCTTTCTTCTGTTTTTGGAAGCAAGAAGAATATTAAAATGACAAAGCAAAAGGAACTAGTGGTAGAAAAGTTAAATAAAAATGGACCATCTCTGGAAGCACTGGAAAGGGGCAATCTTCCTCTGCAGGACCCCATTTCTCTGTGCAGAAGGCAGGTGATTCCCACGTAGTGCCTACGTCCTAACACCATCGAAAGATTCCACTGGGTGACGCGTGGAAGGATGTGCTTAGACAACTGCTAGAAGCTACAGAAATTTATATTGCTGTCAAAGGAATATCCTTAGTCCATATTGTACTGTTCTAACGTGAAAGACATTTTCATGATGTATTTAAATAAACAAAATCTCCAAACAATAGCATTTGAAATTATTTCCAAATCTGTTCGGGTATGTATTTGGGTATTACCTGATGTCTGTTATTTTAATTCCAATAGAAAGTGTAGCTTAATGTAAACCTGAGGCAGATCAAGACTGGAAGATCTGATCCTCATCTAATATTTAAAGACATATTTTTTATCATCTGCTGTAGCTAGAGGCTCTGAAGTCTGGAAATGAATAAGTCTCTCAAACAAAACGAGGTTGTTCTTTGAATTGTGGAAATAACTAACCTCTTCCTCTAAGGGTTTATGTTCTATGCCCCATTCTTGTCCTCCTCACTGTCACTGCAATGATCTTGGCCTCCATGTCCTGCAATGCCAGGTGCTCAGGCATCCCCCCAGCTGATACCTGTCCCACACTGACCAGCCCCTTGGTAAGGCAGGAGTAAGGTGAGCTGATCTGCCTTTGAGGTGTTGCTGGCTGGGCATCCAGGAGGACAAAGACAACAGGTAAGACCAGTGACCATGCTGCAGCTACCTTTGATGCAAATTCCTAATTTAAATCTCTATCTTCTACTTGGACTATGATTTTGTTCAGAGTGATAGCTGCTGAATTTGTCTGCCACGACCCAACAGATTCAAAATTATTAGAAGAGAACTGGCAGAGATTCAAACCCTGATTTCTGAGACCAAGATAAAACACAAAACTTACCTAAGCAAAGGAGTGATAATCCCCTCTCCCCAGGGCTGAGCACTGCCCCGACTGACTAGACAGTCTTTTAGGTGCAGGGCACGAGGAAGACTCTCCCATTGACTCTTCTCATTTGGCATTGCAATATGTGATATTTGGTATCTGCAATAGAGTTCTGCAATATGACCATCAGCTTCACTGGCCAGCTTCTTGTGTGGGCCATGTTTTGTGCATTTCGAGGCCTGGACACGACCCCTCAAAGGCAGGCAGTATCTCAGTCAGTTACACTTGATACCACCTCTTGATTTTATTGTGATCACAAAAAAACATTGAACCAGGAAAAAGTTTTGCTGTTTCAGACATCTTTCTTCCTAAAAGTTCTTCATATTGTGCTGGTTTTGGGTGGGATAGAGTTAATTTTCTTCATAGCAGCTTGTATGGGGCTGTGGTTTGGGTTTGTGACCAAAACCGTGTGGATAACACAGGGATGGATGTTTTAGCTGTTGCTGGTTGTCACACCACCCCACCGGCAAGGAGGCTGGGGGTGGGGAAGAAGGGACACAGCTTAGATAGCTGGCCCAAACTAACCAAAGAGATATCCCAGAGCATATGACATCATGCTCAGCAATATAAAGCTGGGAGAAGAAGGAAGGGGGGGACATGCAGAATGATGGTGTTTGTCTTCCCAAGTAATTGCAACATGTTATGGAGCCTTGTTGTCCTGGAGATGGCTGAACACCTGCCTGGCCATGGGGAGTAGTGAATGAATTCCTGGTTTTGTGTTGCTTGAATACATGCCTTTTACTTGACTTATTAACTGTCTTTATCCCAAGCCACGAGTTTTCTCACTTTTACTCTTCTAATTCTCCTGATTCTCTCTCCTGTGCCACTGGGGGGGAGGGGGAGTGAGTGCGCAGCTGTGTGGGGCTTTGTTGCTGGCTGGGGTTAAACCATGACCTGTATCTACTGGAGTAGAAAAAGTAACCTGAAAAAATACACTGCTTGGTTAACTCTTCCATCCAAAAATGTTGAAAAGCTCTCAGGAGGCTGATGTCACTGATGTTAGGAAAATCCTTCTGTATGTACCACCTATAAGCAAAGCAAAACAGCAACCCTTATTCCACAAATGCTCTTTAACTCCAGCAAAACTCACAAGAAAGCAGAGCAGGGACACAGAGGACCTCATTCCTTCCACACCTTTACTGTCACAGATGACCACGTCACTGTTATGAAATTAGAAAGCTCCCATTCAAAAGACAGCTTTTATATTTTGAGTAACATTAATACATTTATTTAATTGTAATTTACTCTTCATTCATAAAAAGGACAAAGCATGGTCCTGCTCTACTCATCTGGAAAAAAAAAGATAAAAAGTAACTAAAAAACCAGTTCAATATTCATCAGTATCAAATAATAGTAATATCAATTTTTCTGAAATATAAAGAAACAACAAATATGTCTATCTATATAAACTTTAATTAAGAACCTTGCGTTTTAAAGCAGATGATACATTAGTTAGTTTTTCTTGACAACAATTTGAAACTGAAGGTCCCTGTCAAATTTACACAATTATGTGACACAGAAAAATTGTCAACTATCTGACCGGTATGTGAGACCTATCTCATCTGTGTTGCTGATTTTAAAAAAGAAGTGGCTTTTCTACCCAGGTCATTTCCATGCAAAAACTAAACAGTTTTGCTTTTTACACCACGTATTAGAAAAGTAAAAGGCAATCATGCATTTGGCAAAAGATTTAGTTGTGGTTGTAGATTATATAAAAATGAGTCATACTGCAAAAGAACCAAACCAAATGGAACACAATAATTCACATTTCTTTTTGTACAGAAGGCTTACAGCGTATTAGTTTCTTAATGAGCTGAAGACAGCTCATTTCTCTTTCAAATAATTATACAATTTATGAAACTCAGTAGTGTTTGACACTTCAACATTCCTCGATAGGGAAGTTCTCACTTTCACCTATTTAAAAAATTTTCATCTTGTAACAAATAGTTAAACTAAAACAGTATTACTGATATTTCTTAATGAAGACTCTACACTTTTACATGTAAATATATAGTACAAAATTATACAAATAAAAGAAGAGGGTGTACATTATTAATAATAATTAATATTCTTGCTTCATGTAATTATTATTATTATGGACCTCTACAGTATCAGTTCTAAAAAGATAAAATCTATTTCTAAGTAGCTAGCAAGGTTGTGCTAATAAAATATGATTCAAAGCTTATAATTCTTGAAGCATCAGACATTGCACTATTACTTGAGCCAGCTGATTCAATATCACTGTGTTTCTTCAACATTCACACTCAAACTAATTCCCAGCACACCATGGGAAATGAAAGGAATGTGCATTTCTTTAACAACTTAAAAAAACCCAAACAAACCAACAAAAAAAACCCAAACACTGAAACACTCTAGACACAGTCAGAACAAAAACATTCTCTATCTCTAATAGAGTTCCCATTTTGCAAAGGCCATAGTAAACATTTAGCTTCGACTAACAGTTGGGATCTGACTTTCATGTACTAACACACAGTTGGAACATTCAGTACTCTATCAAATAGGGAAACGGTCTCAGAACTTTAAAACTCTTATTTACAACACTATGAACATTAGAACAACATCAAGTTCTTGAAAAAGCATATAATTCTCCCAAATGTACGCCTTCATTACAGGAAGGTAACACTTGGTATCTGCAGCATAAAAATGTAAATATAATTTTTTTTTTTTACTGTGTTACTCTGTTTTTGCCATTTATTGTATATCTTTTTCTTTTTTTTTTTATATTTTAAATCTTTTAACTTTAAAAAATAACATTTCCTACCATTTCATGGTCCACTTGGCTGATCTTAACATGGACTCCATCTCCAAACTCCAGTGTTCTATTGCTACCTTAATAATAATAACAGTAATAATACTAAATCAAAGCAGACACATTACACTGCTTCCCTGAAACCTGACATTTGACTCCTAAAACCAGCAACAAGGACCAGAACAGAATTTTTCAACAGAATAGTTTTAAGAAAAGAATACAGGAAATCTTGTGCCAGTGAAGCACAGGTAAATTCCTTTAAGCTGAGCATGCTATGCACTTCTCAGGTGTTCTTAACGTATTTAAAATTAAAAAAATCCTTGTCACTGACTTTCATTTCACATCCTTCAAATTCTATCCAATAGCCTCAAGAAATATAGCTCTAAAAAATGAAATGTTTTTGCTTTGACTGTCTCTCTAAAAACCAGTAATCCCAATAAATGATGATGGGGCCATTCAAAAATATGCAGTACACAAAACATACAGGATAGTACAGACAGACGTAGTACTCTTACATTTATCACATACAATCAACATTTCAATCTCTATTATATTTCACAATTTGTTATTCGGTTAAAGCACCTACGCATGGTGATTTTACTTTCACTGTACAGCCTATGTTATTGGGTTTTAACACTGTAACTTGCCCCATTGGACCGAATCATGCAACTGTCACAGATCAGCAGAAGTGTTTTATAAGGCATATTGGAACAAGTTAAAAATATTTCTTAGCCTTTCAAAAGTTGATTTACTTCATGAAGGAGTTCCTGGATGCCTCAGTCCTCTTACAGTTCATAGGAAATCGGCAGGGTAATTTGTTTTAAAGTGTAATTTATTTGGCTTAGGACGGTGCCACAGGAATCAAAAAGTCGTGGTCCTCATCTTCAAAGGGAGTCCTTTGTGTTGGGCGGAGGACAAGGGAAACCCAGCTACATTCAGAACCCCGAGCAGGCCAGGAGACCCAGGGCAGGCGCCACCAGCACCAGGAGCAGAGTCGGCACGCCAGCAGCGGCACCTGCGACCAAACAGAGAACAACACGACGTGGGGCTTACGCCAGCGTGACCCGCGGCAGGGGAGGACGACCCGCAGGAAGGTGGGGCACGGCGGCTGGAACACCAGCTGGCAGACCCCAGCCCCGCCCCTACCCGCGGGGACCCCGAGACTTGCTAGGGCACGGCGCAGGACTGGCGCTCGCGCTCTGCAGCAGCTGCTTGTGCTGCGTGTTTATACGAGCAGCGAGGCCGTTCAGAACCCACCGGTGTATTTTGATTTGGCCGGTCCAACAAGCCAGGAGGTTATATCAGGAGGTAAAAGGTCAAAATAAATATTTAAACGCGTGAAAGCAAAATTAATGGAGTCTTTGAAATGTGACAAAGCAAAGAGACACCTTTGGAAATGTTAATGTTCATATGATCAGCCATAATCTGAGGGATGTCAGAGAGCCTGGTCTGTTTGTTTACCTGCCACATTACAAAGTCCAGATGGCTGACTTCTAGCAGTGTGGCACTTACATCTGTTATAGTCACAAGGATCTTTCTTAAACAAATATTTTAAGACAAAAAATATTAACTAACAGCTTACAAACTTTACACAACTCACTCTGGCAAACAGGGACAAGGATTGCTAGAATGTTAAATGGCTCCTGTTGCCACGGTCCAGCTCTCTGTTAAGAAGCATCTATAGGAGAAAATAAGCCAGCCAAACCGTGCCTGGCTGTGAGTCTTGGAGATGGGCCACAGGAGCTGGAGAACGGGCTATTCCTTCATCTCAGAGAGCTCAGATGGTAGTGTGTAGGTGGGCAGTGTGGGATCCAGCTGATCACTGCTCGTCCTGCTGTTGAACACAGACTAAGGGCAGAAGTGCTTGCAGCTGGTGGTGACAGTCCTGAGGAGCTGCAGGAACCATCCCACCGGACAGTTCTCCAGCATATGTTCTGAGTGTGGAAAAACCACACTCAGAACATGCAGGCCAAACACCACAGATTTCAGCAGGCAGCCCTGTTTTACCTAACAACAGGCACAGTACAACAAATTTCAAGTATTCTTTCATAGAATTTAAAGTCCCAAAAGAGCATCCACATCTTCTCATCAGACCTCTTGCAAGGACAAGTACCTCACATCATCTGGTCCGGCACCATGCAGGCTCCTGGACAGATAAATCTGTAGGTTTTATATATCTCCCTCAGAAGTTTTTGTATCTTTCAGGATAAGTAAAGAGGTTAATTCTTCACTTTGTGTCTATCTATCTCAAATCTCCTATTAATAAGGTACTTTATTAATTTCAGTTAGCAAAACAAAATCCTGAGGGTGAAAAAAATGCTAGTTTGAAGTGAGAATTTGTCCAAATAAACACCTGTAAGTTATCTTCAAGTATTTATTTCTTACAGTATTTCTTACCCACTATAACAAGGAGGGAGTGAATAAAGTAGATGGAAATTAATCTTATTGATAGCAAAACCCAATTTTATATAAAGCTTGTGGACCAACTCCAAATCAGAAAACTCCAGAGCCTTTTTTCCTCACAACTATCTTATTACAGTATTTCCAAACTAAATCCCGAGGACTGATATGGTGGGAACAATCACGTTCCACTGGATATAGAGCACATGTCTATCACTGGAGAGAGCTGGGTCTAAAGATCCATTTCATCCAAGATCTCTCTCCAGAGAAGCTGTTAGAGGAGTGCGTGCCCTCCCTGTCCCAGAACAGAGGTATGTCAGTACGCTTACGCGGTGATCAGACACCTCCCAACAGGACGTGCCCACAGCTGCTCACAGGCACACAGGTACAGCGTGTCACCTGGCTCAACGCTTAACAAAAAAGGGCACCATAAGTTACGGGCACACAGAAGGCCTGGCTTGTTTACACGTGGCCTTCAGTAGTCAGTTGAACTGCTCTTAGAAAGGCAGATGTGAAAGGGAGTGTCTCCTGACTCACAAATGAAGCTTCCTGCAGGCCCCATCAGGGATAAATTCAGAAGATAGCCTCCAAGACCAAGACAACTATTTCCCCTCCTGTTTCTGCCACAGAAGGTGTAAAAATGTATTTATAGGTGATTCTTGTTTCTCCGTTGTCCCCTCAGGGAAAAAGTCCACAACATCCGCCATGAAGCCGGAATTTTAGAGCTTTCCCCACAGAATTTATTTTCAGTTTCAGACATATTACTCTTATTGTCCCCTTTCTTTCTAGGTCCACCACTCTACTCCTCCTGACTTCAGCCCTCACTCATATCAAGTCCTTTTGGTGCTCCACTCTCTTACCTGTCCCCAGTACTAAACTCTATCCTTTTTCTCCTGCTTTTGACACCTCTTCTCTGCTCCCATTCCCACTCCTTCCCCTGCTGCTGTAGGGATGCTTTCTGAAGTCAAGATTTCTTCCTAAGTCTTTTCTGATATTCAAGCACATGGAAAACCAAGACAAGAGACCTACTAATCCTTCTTGATCAGCAATATTCAGTGGTAAAAAGCACATTTCTATGAAAAGCACATTTTTCCATAAGAAGCTGTATATCCACTTCAGTGAAAGATAAATTTAAGGAAAATATTAGAAAAAATTGCTTTTGAAAGTATCCATAAGCAAATTTTATGCTTAGGATGAACATGAATCCATGCTCAAATATATTCTCATACGTAACAATTACGCATTTTGGCAACTGTGAAAGTACAAGCGTGTATTTATCTGTTCTTTTTAGTGATTTGTGAAACACATTTAATCTCTTCTGTAGTCCTTATCCCTAAATATCAAAGTAGTAGTTCTTAATGAATGAATAATAGCCGTGGAAGAAAAATAATCCAGACTTCATACTTGAGAATATCCACAGAAAACGTATTCTGCCTTTTTCAGATCAGGATAATGCTGCTGGAAAGACACAACTAAACTCATATTTTGAATGCTTCTAGTGAAGGAAAATGTAAAAAAGTTTGCCTAGTGAAGTTGAATGATGAGCAAGTACGAGGAAAAGTCTATTTCCATCTAACTATTCTACAAAGAGAAAGGAATAATAAATCTTCCCCTGAGATGTGTCCACTGGCTCCAGAATTAATAGCAACTCGTCCCACTGCAGCAGGTCCTTACCAGGTTCAGGCACTGTTGCAGATACCTTTAACAGCTTTCTGCAACGAAGCAAATCCTTCCCTTGGCGCATTAGCAGAACATTAGGAGGACAAATGCACATTAAACAGATCCCCCTTCTTTTTTTCTTGTTAGATTACTGACCCACGTGTCAGGAACCATACTTCACTGGAAACACCATTCACCAGTGCACAACAGCCAGTACACTCCTGCAGCTCACAAATGACAATTAATGTAGGTTTTGCCAGAGTACAGAATACAAGATTTAATTCTGTGCAGTAATGCAATTGTGATCTGTCAGTTTAAACAATCTTTAAAAACTAGAGAAATGCCAGATAAAGACTTACTGAATGTGTACAAATAGACATGTGGATGTAAATTAAAACAGAAGGACTATTAAGCTCCTTCTGAAGTCTGGCCAGGTATGAGCTGTATATATTTAGTACCTAAAAATTCATTTTCTCAGTGTTATAATGTGTGATCTCTCCTCTCAACCAGCACCTTGCATATCCTGTGTGCGTGCAACTGCACACTACAGTCACCAAAGACAGGGCCAAAACCAAATGACAAACACACCATGTGTGGACTTCATATCAAGAGTCTTCATTTCTTTCAAATAAACAATGAAACACACACCTTAAATTTGTTTGTTTATTTGTTTTTCCAAGAGGACCAAGCAAAGGTTGTGAAATCTTGCAGTATTCCCGTTCAGGCTTTATTACTGTCTGCTATAGAGTTCCAGTAGCTGATAGTTTTAAGCCTAGGACTAAACTATCCACAAAAACATACTACTCAAAATGTAGCTTAACATAATGCATTTTCTTTCAGCAAGATCTTTCTGTATCACAAGAACTCCAATTAAAGTCACAGTAATCCACAACTTTGTATTTTAAATCCTTTAGTCTCAGATGAAATCTGTTACACTTCTGAATAGAGATCCTAGATTTTACTGACATCTTGAACAGTATGCAACAGTCTTCCAATTATACTCAAAAGAAACGGAATCAATTTAATGCCTAAATGAAACAGACGTTAAAACAGTTCAGACTTTGATGTATTTCCCAAGTCTTTGTAACAATTTGTTATGAAAAAATGTCATTATTTTCTTTAAATGTTACTTATCATTAAGATATGACATTTTTGGCCCTTTTCCAAACCCCACTATCTTTCTATACTGGATTGTAAAAAAAAAAAAATAATCTAGAGGCTTGTTTAGAAATCTTACTTTCATCAGATCTGTGAACCAGGAAATTAGTTACTGGTCATCTGTGAAGCTGTCATATGTGAATAACTTCTCTTTCTCAGTGAGAAAGCGTTTGCCCTGCCAACATACACAAACTACAAGCTATTCCTTGGCTAACCATGAGCTGATCCTGTTGTGGCAAAACTCTCTCTGCATTTGTTGTCAGGAAAGATTGTTCAAGAATTAATTTGTAATAAATGACATCATTTTTTTTTAGTTTCAAGGTACTGAACATCGAGGGGGATGTCTACATGACTGTTCTAGTTTAGAGGGAGTGTGTAGGGCAGGATTAGAGGGTAGAGGAGCAGATCTGTAAAGAGAAGCAGCAGTGTTGGGAATCCAGCTCCACACTGTGTGCTCATCTCAGGTTTTACTTTGCACTGCCTCTAATCCAGTCCTGCACAGGGTATCCAGCACAGCTCCACAGTGCAAAATAAACCCCCATAAAGTGAGCAGCTGAGATACTTACTTCAAAAACACACTCCCTCTAAACTAGAGCAGTCATGTAGACAACCCCCTCAATGTTCAGTACCTTGAAACTGCATAAAAGAAGTAGGTGGGTCTGTAGTTCTGTCATCTGGCTTCTGAAAGGAAATACCACTTGTCCCAGCTGGAAATACTGCCTTCATGAAAGACTACTGCATAAGAAATGGGTAGTATCAGCTGACATGATTCAAATTCTGCTATCCCTATTCATAGTA